CCTATTGTTTATATATTTATATATATTTATACTTCTACACTATTCTAGAATTTCTTAGTTATACTTTTTTCACTGAATTTTCCCACCTTAATTTCTTTACAATTTATAATAACAGAATGAAATAATATAATATTGTATTATATACTTATACTAGACCTGTGAGTCTATAGCACAGTGGTTAATGCTCCACAGGTCAGATTACAAGATAATAGTTCAAATCTCCAGGAGGCTAATGTAAAATACTAAACCAGAAGGAAGAATCGATATCTTCTTATTGCTATCACAAGATATCAAGTTCAGTTTCAGGTGAAAGCAGTTGGACCATCTCAACATGATATCTGGCACCATAACCTAACATGCGCTGTTTCCTATAAGAAGCCAATTTACATATTGATCCAACAGGCATTAGGATTGTAATACCAAGAAAGACGTAGTGATGTAATGATAGTTTGGCAGTGTTACAATTATCATTGTCAAGTTTAGTACTTTCTCTATCTCTTATGCATGGAGCATGCTTCCTCATTCCTTTAGTTCATGAGACTATAAAAAAAACAACCTAATTTTTCAAGAGACCAAGCTAAAGCCACAAAAACTTCTTGTTGAATATGGCTAGTCCATGGCTGATTGTATTAGGATATAGTTTTTGGAGTTTCTATTTATCAGATGGTGGGTGAAACTGGAAGGTGCACATCTTGGTACATTAGCACTCTATCTATGCTATCAGGATCCTGGTGCTAATAATATAGGAAGAATGGAGGGCAATGAGCCAACTGGTAGATAAAGTCATAAAAACTTTCTCTAGATAGTTTCATTAGGTAGATAGGTAGTAGTCAATTCCCATAAAGGAAAAATATATGTACTGTAAATTCATATCTAATAAAACAAGGTGTATACCAGTTATTGAAAAAAAAATTATATACTTATACTATTTTTACTTGTAATAACATAAAAATAGAAAAATAATATATACAAATTAATAAAACAATTTAGTAAAAAAAATACTATACATGACTATATTTAAAATACTGATTTAATATATATAGTGATTACAAGAATATCTTTAATTTTATATAGACAGAGTAAGAAGTAAAGCTTTTGATCAATTTACAAGAATAGAAACAGTCTGGTTTTAAATAGAAAAGTCAAATTCAAAAAAAATATTTCAAGTAGAAGTTGAAAATTGGCTTTATTTATTAAAAGAAAAACTAGTAGCAATTTTTTGACAATACTAACAATACCAAACAATAAGAGCATAGAAATTAAAACAAATAATATCAACTGTATCAATACTTTCACAGAGCTATACAAATCCTACCCCAAGAAAACACTGAAATAACAAATAAAAATATCTAATCGGTAGCAGTAATTAAGATTAATGAATACAATTTCTAAAAAAAGGATTCAATTAAAACTTATTAAATTCCAAATTTATAGTAAATATATGGCAAACAATCAAGTCAACCAATTAACTAAAGCAACAAAGAAAGAGTCAGAAATTAAATAAAGAGTATTGTCATTAATATTTCCAATCATAGTATAGAATAATATTTCAATTTATATCTTGATCAAGAGCCTTTGTCAAAAACTATAACAAAAGAAAAATCCTAGTACAATGGATATCTCTTGATAGAATTCAACAATGATAGAAAAAAGAGATAGAAAACTATAATAAAATTGATTAGAAATAACAATAATAATCTGTTAGATAAATAACCAATAATATAATGTTTTTTTACATATTTTTTTTATCATACAATTTTATTTTAATTTTATTTATAATGAATTCAATTATAAAAAATACAAAAAATATCGAGAAAATTTAAAATGGTGTATTGTTCGTTAGTATAAAATTATATTTGATAATCATAATATTAAAATTTTTAACACCGTCTGTAAATACAGTATATCACCTGTAAAAAAATAAATTTGAATAAAAACGAATGTATTCAAATTAAATTATACTATATTTATTAGAATAAAAATTATTAATGAAAAGAAAACAATTATTATAATCGTCAAAAAATTTTAATCAAAAGAAATATAATCATATCATTATTTTTTGTTTTTATTTCACCATTTTAATAAGATAAATATATATTATTATCATCTGTAAGAATAATATCAGATATCGAGATTTGGGCTACCTTTCTCATATAAAATATAAAATTATTTTTCGAGGAATTTACCACAATACCGATGGTTCCCTTAGGACATCTCATAAGTGTACCTTCTAATTCTCATATTACTGATGGACCTATAAAAATACTTTAAGACTGAGTAAAATTTACATCATCACCAAGAAACTGTAGAAGAATGTTTACCCTAATATGTGGCCCGATGTGCCTTCGATTCCATATGTCTTCCCAAGCGCTATTGGCTAAGACCTCTATAATATGATAAATCAATAATTATACAATATTCTCACTTGTATAATAAAATAATAGTCTACTATATTTTTCTTGATATCAATTCCATTATCATATTGACCTCTGGTTTATTGGCAGCTGTTCCGACAAATTTTAATCTTTTTAAAACTGGTTTTTCAAAAAGGATACATTTAGCAACAGCAAAAGACAAGTTTAAAATGAATATTAAGTATATAATTACCTCCACTACGACACCCATAGGTGTTTTAATGAAAAAAAATTAAAATTTTTTATTTGTTTATCAGTGGCATGTCGTTATTAATATATGAAGAAAGATTAATCCTTGTTTACATAATGCAGTTAATTATTTGTATGAAGTTCATTCATTCGTCACAATCACTTATCTTAATTCAGAAATCAATTATATTTCATTAAACAATTATTGTTTAAATTTAGAATTTCATCACATCTGAATATCCAAGAAAGAAGTAAGGAGAAGCTTATTCATTGGTTATTCAAGTGTGTTATAAGAATTTCACTCCTATATGCCATTTCCAAAGGAATTATAATTAAAAATCACTGAAACGTGTATCAAAAAGAAAAAGTTGAGAACCTGATAAATAAGGTGCTTTTTCTTTATTGCTTATTCATCGAATGTTAAGACAAGAAGCTCTCTAATATTCAATGTCAGAAATCACCAATAAGGCATATGTGTGGCAAAAACACGTATGTTGGTTCACATAAACAGCGAATCTGCGACTGACTTCTAAAATTTCAATGTAATATCTAAAATTCTTACCCTGGGAGACTTAAATGAACGGATGCAAACATACTAACAAGAATCGATTGTTTTCTATACCATTGACAGCTTATATGAGGTTGGGTTCATGTAAGGTTGAGCTCAACCTTAATCCTTCATATAAGGTTAAGCCCAACCTTACCCCTTTATGTAAGTTGAACTTAACCTTACTCCTTCATGTGAGGTTGACCCAAACCTTACTTTGTTTATTTAAGGTTAAGCTCGACCTTACTTCATTTATGTGAGGGTAAGCTCAACCTTACTTTGTTCATGTGAGATTAAGCTTAACCCTACTTTGTTCTTGTAAGGTTGAGCCCAACCTTACTTTGTTTATTTACTGTAAGGTTAAGCTTAACCTTACTTCATTCATGTGAAGGTACTATCAGAGTTAATCCCAAACGCATCGGGCTATAATGGTCGCCTAATTTCATCACTTTTATCCGAACTTGCTGCATCATTATTAGAGTCTTGATCTGATTCTAGATAATTCATTTTATTTTTGCTAAATACGTTATTTTTTTGTTACTTATATACTGCAACTTTACCTTACTCAACTATCTTTTTCTATTTACTGTTCGGCTATCAAATACTTGATTTCTGTAATTTATTTATGTATTATTCACCGTATTTCTAAGTTATACTGTCAATAAACAATTGATCAATTAATCAATTGCGTAAATAATAACAAATACGCGAATATTGTATAATTAACGTACAATAAAGTTGTGGAGTATGAATTAATTTTTCTTTGGTGAGAAATATATCTTTCAGTATTATCGAACTAAAGTTCAAAAAAATTTAGTAATAAGAAACAACAATTGGATCTTATCGAGACAAAACAAAAAGTGCCTCGAAAAATCTATCAGAAATTCAATGACGAAGTAACAAATGTTATAATTAAATTTAATAAATATAATATTTATATATAAAGTTAACTAATCGCTAACCTTTTCATATTTTACCTAAAATGAATTTGAAACTTAAATACGAATACTGTACTAGATGGCTACATTCCATTATTTCTCCAAAAAAATACCTTTTACAATTAAAAAGGCTACTTCAGCCGATGTCGTTTTCTTACATGAATTTTAACACCAAGCATCAAATTTACAGAACTCGAATAAATCCGTTGATTCTTGTAAACCATCAAATGTATTATCTGCAATACAATCATGAATCCATCGGAACCAAATTTTGAAAACGGATATGAAATCCTTCATATTATTAGATGTCAATGGAATGATAACCAATTAAAACGAAAATGGAATTTACTGCATGAAGTTGTAAAGAAAACTGTTTCTGAAAATAGCTGTAAAAGATTTAGAACAAAGGACGATGTTTTGATGAAGATAACATTTATATTAATAGTCAAATTTTGTATGACATAATACAGTAAAATTATCGGAATCTTGACGGTTTACTTACAAAATCTTTCGCTACTTTCTCTGTTATTTCTTTGAATAATTAAAATTCTGAATTTTCTATATACTAGCAAAATAATCCGAAAATATACAGTATAATTATTACAGTACGGAAGTTTCACTCGGAGTAATATTAATAAATAAAATTTTATCATGTGTTATGTTATTATGAGTAGAATAATATCATAGCGCATAATGCCTATGTATATGGCTTAGGGTTTTTGTACTTTCTATAAAAACAATGATTAAACAACTTCTTTTAGAAATAATGATTGTGGATAAATGCCCTAGATCATCTTTTATAAATAGACCATATCTCAGCTATCCCTGTATTCTCATTCTGTTAAAATTTAACAAATTGACTAAAGAATTTTTCTGACATTTCTTAATTTCACCTAAACATTGTTCAGAATCATGACATACGAAATACATGCTAACAATCCACTCGTACTTTTAGTAGGAAAAACAGGAAAGTATCTTGTATATTTAGTACCGTATACTATACTGTTTTATTTCATTCACTAATTTGAAGAAGAAAAATTTAGGTGCAGGAAAAAGTACTCTGGGAAACTTACTTCTCGGGAAACCACATGATAATGGTCCTTTTTATACGTCAGCGAGTATGGTGAGTAGTATACTTATACAAATTAGTAATCTCCATTAAATTATTTTGAAGTGATATTGAAAATACGTATAGGAGTCCGTCACGAATGAATGTAAAACGGAGATGATTTCAATCAATGGTACAATGTATGATATTGTTGACACTCCCGGAATTTTTGACACTCAACAAGATATAGATGAAACACTTAAAAAGATTGCAAAATCTGTTAATAAATGCAATCATGGTGTAAAAGCTATTCTTATAGTTATTGGTATGTTATGGTGATAATATACCTTGATTAATTACATTTCGGTTTTAAATTAATTTTTGAATTAAACTCTTAGAAGCGCATCGGTTTACCAATGAGCAGAAAGATGCTTTGAGCAAAATAAGAGGTTTTCTTGGAAGAGACGCAACAAGCCATATTATCGCTGTTTTCTCTCATGCAAATAAAATGCAGACCGAACGTAGAGACGAAATGGAAAAGGCTTGGAATAATCCCGTTCAATCCTTTATTCAAAATGTTAAAAGCCGTTGGGGAATATCTCCAAATCCTGATGTTTTTTCGCCTAATAACCCAGTATATGGTTCCCGATTAAAGGAAATCAAAGATTTAATAAATGGTATACAGGGAGTTTACGCAACTGAACAGCTTGAGAAAAATCTGCATGAACAAGAGGAGGCTCGACGTCGAAAAGAAGAGGAAGATAAAAGAAAACAACGGGATTACGAAGAAATGCTAAAAGAAAATGCAAGAAGAGAAGCTGAGACAAAACATAGGCAAATGGTAGAGTTAATGGAACAGAAACAAAGGGAGAGGGAAAGGGAGTGGGAAAGGGAAAGGGAAAGGATGAGGAGAGAACAAGAAAGAAGAGAACAAGAAAGAAGAGAACAAGAAAGAAGAGAACAAGAAAGAAGAGAACGAGAAAGAAGAGAACAAGAAAGAAGAGAACAAGAAAGAAGAGAACGAGAAAGAAGAGAAAGAAAACAAGAACAAGAAAGAAAGGAAAGAGAATTGGAAAGAGAATTGGAAAGAAAATGCAAAAGAGAAATGGAAAGAAAAAGAGAATTGGAAAGAAGAGAAATGGAAAGAAGAAGAGAAATGGAAAGAAGAAGAGAAATAGAAAGAAGAGAAATAGAAAGAAGAGAAATGGAAAAAAAAAGAGAAAGGGAAAGGGAAAGAGAAAATCAAGCTAAAGCTGTCAGTCAAAGTGTTGAGGATGATTCAGGTATTTATGCAGTAGCAGGAGCTATGGGGGGTAGTGTTGCGGGACCGCTCGGTATGGTTGCAGGCGCTGCTATGGGATATGCATTTGGCAAAATATCTAGTTTAGTAAAGAAATAATAAATTAAAATATTGGTGCGGAGTATTCAATGATTCACTTCATTAAAATTTTGCACGATAGTTTCGTCGATTTCCTATCGTTGAACTATGATTCATTATTAACATGTACTGTAATACGTGCTGTAATGTCAACATGACACCAAGCATTTACGTACACACATCGTAACTCACGTTTATATTTAATATGCTTTTAATTAATATCAATGACTTCGCATCGTTAAAAAGTGATTCCCGATTTAACATATAATAAAGTCTTCGGCATGACATAAAACATCTATACAGTATTAACTTTAGACTTTTCAATTTTTATATTCATATATAGTTCATATATACCCTTATGACTTATTAAATTTTAATAAACCAATTTCTTGCAATTCTAAATACATGTCAAAAAGAAACTTATTTGAAACGATAGAAGATAAAGAAATAATTATTGAACGATCGATAAATCATATTTGGAAAGCGACCAAGAGAAAGATCTTATCAATTGCTTTTGATAATTTAAAACGACAGGCGACTACCACTTTAAATAATTATGATATCGCTACCACGAATCTTGACGCACCGTCCGTAGCACTTATAAATACTGCAGATTTTAATTAAATTAGAAAGGTACTTCTTGGATCAAATGAAAATAGGCCTATTTTTATCAGAGATGCTTCGGAGGAAGAAAGTGCTCAAGAAGAAACCAAGAAACTAATTAAGCCATTAAATGGGATACAGATTTCTGAACTTGGTACTGCAGAAATAACTATCTCGCCACACGCTAGAGAAAAAACTCCAGAACCTATTTCACAATCCATACTGCCGACTCAAATTTTAGAACCTGATGGTTTGCCCACACTGCCAACTCATGCACTGACATTAGAATCTGATGTAAGAAATTAGTCACACTATTGTTATGGGAACAATGGGGATGGGAACGCGATATCGTGGCGCGTCGCGTAATAATAGTAACATGGATGGTAGAATGATGTAATAATTGTTAATAGCATGTAATGGGGTGGACGCGTCAACAAGGCATATAAATAGGATAGTTTAGGTAGCTTGGAGGGAGGAAGTTCTAAGTCCGCGATTTGGAAAGTTTTGTTTTAGAACACTTGTTTTGTTTTGCACACTCGCGCTTTATTAAATAAATGCTATTTCGCTTTGCATAATAAACAATATACATTCTTTAAAAGTATGCACTAAGTTCACGCCACTATATTAAAGTAAACGTCTTTAAGAAGAAGAGACGCGACGTTACCTTTTGCACCGTGAAAAATGACTCTTGTGATCTTGAGACGCGCCTAAAGGGAAAGACGGTCAAGAAGAGATTAGAAAGTGCGCAAGTCGGCCAAATTGTAACCGCCTTGGAGTTAAAGCCTTACCTTATTTAGTGCCAAAATCCAAGCGTTCGGATTATCGTCACGCGAAGAGTGAGCCGTTTTAGCGACAGACTCGCTGGTGACGACAACACCACCAAATCAAATAAGGACAGTAACATCTAGCATTACATTATTACCCACTTCGCAGTCCCAAGAAACAACACCTAAACCACCTAGAACATTGAGAAAAAGAAAGGCTAAGATGCAGATTGAAAAAAAAACATTTTCAAAATATAGTGTTCCGCCCACCCCTACCCCAACGCGAAAGAGGAAAGCTACGATACATATTGAAAAGGAAACTTCTTCAGAATCTAGTGCACTGCCCACACCTACCCCAACACAAACTAGTACTAAATCAGTAGGAAAAAGAAAAGTCAACACGGAAAGCATGTCATCGGAAGTAACGAAAAGGAAAAGTTTTTCTCTCCCCCTAGATATTAATTATATTACTCAACCACCCTCTCAAAATTGGAACGACGTTCGACTTTGGATGGAAGAGGATATAAAGAAGTTGCAAAACATATTACTAATGTACAAAATGAAGAATTTGAAGAGTGTCCTGGACTTAAAAGTAGAATTCGTAATATATTCCGAAGGCTGTGTAAAATTGATCGAGAATTAAACATCTATCGTCTTATTTATTTCTGTGTATGGTTCGAACTTGTGGAGATGTTCAATATATTATTGCTTGGGTCGAAAAAAATAAAACAAGAGGCCATAAAATATCCACTATTTTTACCCAACCTGAATTCATTGAAGAGAGGAAAAAAACTCCTAACCCTGTTGCCACACCTATGAGCCGAGCTTTTGGAAGAGGAGAACGGGTCAGCTCCCGAGCCTATGAGATCTTGATGCGAGAATTACCTGAAGAGAGGGCAACATCACTTTCCGACGAAATAATTGGTGCACGACGTGCACATAAATTAATTCTTACTGTCGGATGGAGATGCCTAACAAATTTTCCTGACATTACCCCTTCTTTTCTTCGAAATATTACCAATGAACAGATGGAAAACCTACATATTCAGATCTCTGAGTTAAAGAACGAACAGTTTACAGAGGGCGTCACTATTACAATTGCCCAACAAAGAGACATTTTATAAAACCCAAAATTACTTTCTAAACAGTATAACTCCACTGAAATACATAAAGCACCTATCGATCCAAATATTAATCGAGCACTAACTGGTTTTGACTATCGAAGGTACCTGTGCGGCCTCAGAGAACAAAAATCTTCCTCGAAAAAATGACAAATTGAAGGAATAGATGAAGGAAATAACGAGGGAAATGGTTACGAAATTGATGAATTGATTCACTAAAAATATACAGTATATCATTTATAGATATTTGAGCACGTCATTTCATTTTCAGTGTAGAAATATTTATAAATATATAAAATGCTTTTTTCGTTAATTTCGTTCCATATAATTTTCTTCCTACGAAACGAAGATTATTTTTGTATTTCGTTCTCTACTATATTATATTAACTAATGAACTTTCTATTCTATCATCTTCACTTACAAACTTTATGACCATCCATCTGTTTTGAATAAATATTTTGCTTTAAGCTCACACAATCACTAAGCATAACTCCCCATAAAACGTCAATTTCATACAAGAGGACTTCATTTCTCCTTTGCATAAACTCTATTTCAGACATCATTCGGAAAATACTATGACTCTTCTGAAACGCCTCATTCTTCCTTTTATTAATCTTTCATTATCGCATATCAACTCTCTCATACGTAAAAGATCCAAATGACGCATAGCATCCGTGAGAAAGTTCGAATCGTTTTAGTTAAAGCACTCATTGTATTTGATAATGAGACGCTTAACTCCTGACCATCGTATTTATATATATCCGTGTTGTAACGGATACCTTTTCTTTGAGAAACATATTCGCTCTCATCTTCCGACCCATACATTCAATCATGAATTCGTAAACGTTGTTAATGTTGACCACTTGCTTATTATCCATGTTTATAGGGATTTGGGATTATTGTTTTATCTTTGAAAATTTTATTTTGCATTTATATAGTAACGATACAGATTTTATATAAAGATTAGAATTTAATTTGTGACAAGGAATAAAGATATAATGGAACAACCATACCATTAATAAGAGATGCAGGACAAAAAATCTAACGAAACGAACATATTATATCATTTCATCAACGATAGACACATGAAAATCTAACAATACTGTAATGCTAATAACAATAAATGCAATGCAGAATCAATATAATATTGAAGGTATATCAATACTTAAAACTAAATTGAATCCATAGTTTTCAAATGACCCTTTCTTCATCGTTTAAAAATAAGGAATGTTTTCTGTCACAATAGTCAAGAATTTTGGCATACAATGACGAGTAAAGGTCTCAAAATGATAGTTTATTATTTATGATAAAAACGTGATGATCAGGGGACTTGTGGAAAAATCATTTATTAAAGATGGTAAAAAAATTTACAGTTCATAAAAATCAAATAATTTCTTCTATCTTGTGTGTAAAGTACTAAAATCGAATTAATTATTATTGAATCTAGATAAACTTGTTTTTTTAGGATCTTTGTCATCTGACTCAGAAACTTCATAGAATAATCATTTCTTTCTTCTATGCTTAATGGATAAAAAGCCAAAGATTAATTCTGCTGTTTGGTTTGTTGTATCTTTGGTTGGTTGATCTGCTTTGTCATTGTCTGGGTTTTTACTGTATACTTTGATTTTTTTTCTATTAGTTTTATTTTTTTGAAGTTCAGGATATATACAATTGTATTGATTAAGTTTTTATTTTTTAGAGTTTTGTTTTGTATATAGTTATTTTGAATTTTTTGAATCACATTTAAGGCTGCTTGGCTATTACTACAGATGATGACCATGCTGCCTGCTGGTGTTGTTGTGAGAAAAGAAGTTATTGCTACAAGTTTTGCTTTTGTTAATAAGGAAATTTTTTGATTCTTTTCTGAAAACTTGTATTTTCTATTTGCTATTTGCAATATGTGCCATCTGAAACTCATCTTTTTTTCTATGTTTATAGAATTGTCAATAAAGATTGCAATAGTTTTGATATCTCCTATCTAGTTGACACTATACAAGATATTATTAACAAATATTTTAAGTACATATTATAAAATAGAAGCTTTAACTTAAATTAATATCCAAATTAATATAAAAAATATTTATTAAAATGGTTAATCAAGAAATTTATAATAAAGTTATATATCTTTTTGATCAAACAACAATCCAGAAAGCTATTAACAAGTTATTTAAAAACAAAATTTTAGAAAAATCAAAAGTTAGTTATAAAACTAAAAAGCAAAAAAAAATTTATACTTATTTTTTATTTTAATCAAATCTTGTCAATTTTCTTTATATCTAAATTATAAAAACAAATAATTATTACTTTTATTTTTAAAAACCTTGTATAAAATTACAAACCCAATAATACAAAACCTATATTTTTAATAAACTCTATTAAAAAAGTATTTACTGAATAATTGACAAAAGACTAATCAATTCTTAAATTAAACAACAATTTATTTAAATTTAATTATATTGAACTGTTTAACCAAAGTATCATAAAACATTTAACTTTGCTTTATATATAATTAATACAATAATAAAAAATTCAAGTTGTATTCTTAAATATTAAAAAGATATTTGATTTAACATCTATTTAAGATATAAAAAAATCTTTCAAAAAATTCAATTGTTTCAAAAATATTATTAACTATTTATTAATTTTTTTAATAATAAAAAAATATCTATTGATACAGTATATATTTGGAAGCTATAAATTTCTTCAGAATAACCAATAAAATTAAACAATATGAAATAATAATTTATAATTTATTAATTATTAAATTAGACTATACATATGATATAAATTATTTGCTATTGACTCAATTCCAAAAATCCTTAAAAATAATTGTGTCATAACTTAATTATTTATATATTTTAATAGTGAATCAATTAATTGTATCAAATAATTATATCAATTGCATCAAGGATATACAAATTCAGCAACATGTATAAATTAGACTATTACAAAAAAACTTTTTTTTGTACATGATATTCTTTTTATAATAAAAAATAGTTTTTTTCTATTTGTATTTCAATACTTAAAAGTCCTTCATATTTTCTTTATTTTATTATATAAGTTTCAAGAAACCTAAAGAAATATATTGGTGTATTGAAATAAAACTTCTGATCAGAAAAAAGCAAGTTTGAAAGGCCTTGTTTTTTCTTTGAATTATATAAGAAAAGGCTTATGGCAGTTGTTTCTTTACAAATATTTTTTGGAATTCTTTATATTTTTATTTCTTATTAAAAAGAAATTCTTAATAAATAACTATATTTTTTTCTTAGAATGTTGTTTTTTAATTCAAAAAATCAAAATTTATATTAATATTGTTTTATTTGTTAACTTGAAACATCAACAATATACTATATATAATACCTACTTTCCAATATTACCTAATACATTATATTGTGTTATAAAAAACTAAAAATTTTCACTCAAAAAAGTTTTTTATCAAAAAACTATAATTAGATTACTTCTGTTAATTAATTATTATTTTAAATTCAATTAATTAAACATTATCAAATATCAAAACAAATATGCTGTATATAATCAAAATATCACATAACAATCAATATAAATAAAACCAGTTTTGGCAACAACAATCAAAACAAAATCACATTATTAATTAATAGACCAATTATCTTAACAATTATCTTTTTTTTTTTTTTTTTTTTTTTTTTTTAATCGCAAAAAGGCATTAAATGCGAGACATTTATTAAACATTGGTTTATTGTCATTACATTAATAATCTTTAAAATACATAGAAGTTAAATTAATTGTAGCCTATTGCAACTTTTACAATTAGTACGCATTGGCACCAAGT